TAGAACCTTTGGATGTGTCTTATTTATTTGGTCTAATGGAATATTTCACGTTTTTGATGCCTTTCTATTTGCCATTTATTTTATTGTTCAGTTCAACTTTTTTGACACTATTTAGCCTAATCGTTATTAAATTTTTTTTCAACTTTATTTTATAACTATAATAAGCTACTTTTAATCGACTGCTTCTGGTTATTGTTTTGCTCCATAGGGGTATAGAGCCTTCTCTGCTCCCCCATCATGGATTAGGTCTGATTTATCCTTGAATTAGTAATTAGGGATGGCCATTTAAGTGAGTTGGTATCATGATACTGCACTTAACGTTTTAAATATAATTATAGACTTTTTGACTGGCTGGCTGAAATTGTTTTATATATGAAGAAAAAGTGGGCTTCGATAAATCTCTTAATATATCATTGTCATAAAGGCTTCTATTTCGTGTTAAAGTGTATGATTAAGAGATTAGTAGGTCGATCTCACTAGAAGATGACACCGATTCCATTTATCCAAGTGTTTCTCTTTAATACCGCATTCAGGTTAATACAGTTCACGAAACGTATTCCCTCGTTTCGTGTGAAAACTAGCTTAGCTTTCTTTTTTTATATGACGAACACCCTCAGAGACGCAACTTATTTCTGCAAACTTCTCAAGCTAATATTAAATCAAGAAAACTGACCGGTTCTATCTTACATGCTATGCTAAATCATAGCAAGGTAATCACACTTATAGCCAGTTGACTCTTTATAATTTACTGCAAATTGTATTTATCGTGGCGCAGCCCATTGGGCATGCTTTTTCGTTCCTTTAAACTGGCGATATTTTTCATCACACTTCTAATTCAGTTCGGACGATGGTCTTCTCAATCCCTCGGTCCTACAGGCAGCACCGCAGTGTTTGGCCCCTTCACTATGACTGCACCAATGCCTGGTGCGATGGGCAATACAGGTGGCTTAAGTGCGTCTGGGATTTCACAGACTATGCAGCAATTCTTCTCTCAAATGAGTGGACCTATCGGCCAAGCCACGTTGACTACTATGGCTGCAGCAATGAGTGGACTTCCTGTTCCATCTACAGAGACTCTTAGCTCGGGTCTAACAACTTCGGGCCCAGCCCAATCGCAGACTGCTGAGCGATCAACCTCTAGATCTGGGAGAAGTGAAGCAGGTCCTGCTGCCTCAGTTATCGCTAGCGTGTCTATACCTTCAACTGATTCTGCCACTTCGGCAG